TGATAACGAGTAAGATTCATCATATAAAACGGTCATGAAGTTGTTGTTTGGGTGTAAATTGTTAAAAGTTGATTGCTCATAATTTTGGGCTAAATGATTGTAGTTAGTTTCACATATTTATGAGTTAGTTACGAGAACGTTTCACCGTATTTTCTGTACTTTCTCGAAGTTATCAGAATGGGGTGTGTATCACTTATGGGGGATGTCTTCCTCTCAACTTTTACTCAATTGCCGAATGGATTCAATTTTCAAATTTTTACCGTCGAATCGTTCCGGTGGAAATCGATATTATACTTCCTGCAGGTTGAATTCTGTGTGAAACTCTTACAGCTCATTGCTGTTTATCGCAAAGCATAACTCTCGTCATCATCACCATTGATTTGTTTATGCACTGATACCAACTGTATCATCTTGAGACCAAGACGATGAGGGGTAAGTGAGAATAGGAAACGAAGTAAAGGTATTCAGTACGAGATATGAAATAACTACATATTCAGGACTCAGAGAAAGACAAAACGAGAGACATTTACAAAATATCACTCGCGGTTTCCTAGTACCGTTTTTCAATACCTTGCAACCCTCAGGCAAACAACCCACAGTTCCAGCTAGCAGTCATTGCAGTGGTGAATGATTTCATGGTTTTATCACCTGTTTCCTTCAACATATATATATATATATATATATATATATATATATATATATATATATATAACGACTTTGCTGTGAAAGATATTTTGGGAATACTGAGCAAAATGTTCGGCATTATTAACTTCTCCATTGTTTTCAAAAAACAGAGAAGGTAACTGCAATCGAACAGAATTTCAGATATACTCCTATAGTCACCGACTTAGGTGTGGGGACTATCTTAATATCTTTTCAGGCAACTGGTATAGTGTTTTCTTAAAGCGATCTATTATGCATGCTAGTTAATGGATAGACCAATATATCAGCATACTTCATGAATATAAAACTCGACATGTTATCCAAACCTGAAGTCTATGGAGCGTTAAGGGATTTGAGACATTTGAAAACATCTTTTGCGGTGAACTCTGGACAACGTTCTTCATTGGACATAGGTAGACAAAGTGGATCGGACAAGTGGGTTGACGTATAAACGAATTGTTCAAGGCATAGATACCGACATGTGCTTCTTTACTAAGGTGTTTGCTACCAATGAGGCCTTTAAAAAGTTTCCCTATCCTGGAAGAGCCTTTGCATGACAAGCGTTTCTGGTTTTATATTAGACTCAGACGTTTTATTTCCAAACTAATTGAAACATCCTATTGACGAGCACCAGCATTATTACGTACTTTATACAGTCTTTCTTTTTCTCTTCTTAGTTTCTTAAGCTTGGGAGAAGATATATGATCGAAGCGTAGAAAAAGTTTTCACTGGGGCAACAGATATTCAGACAGAACTTGAGGTAGCATGTCACACCATCAATAATGCCGTTCAAAAATCGCTGTCAAATATTTTTCAGTCTGTATATTGTAGCATTTCTTTTAGATTAAGTATGCTACTATGTGAATAGTTCCTATGTACAATTTTCTTATGCGTGAAGGTTGCTTTGTGTAGTTTGCCTTATATTTTGGTAAGACATATAGTGCAATGATCTGAGCTGACCAGTGGGCATCTCTTTCGAGCTCCATATATATCAGTATCATTGACAAATATCAAGTCTAGTTTTGCATCCTGACATGTTATGAAGTTAACTAGGTATTGATGACCAAGAGCTTTGAAAAATCTGTGGTCACAAAAATTAAGATCACCACATATTATCGACAGGGAACCACCGAGTACTGGGACTGCAAATTCTATGAATATATATATCGGAGAAACTAGATAATTCGGAGTAACTCCAACCGGGCGTCACATAAATATTTGTGATGTAAGTAAAGCGATGTTTGTTCAAATATTTTGGGCGACATTTTACGGTGACTATGTAATCATTTGAGAATTCGAAGCTTGTGTAACTCTAAATGCACAAATGGGTACTGATGAAGGTAGCTACACCCCCACCAGCTTCACTTTCTTAGTAGAGCTACATTGATCCTGATGTAAAATTTTGAAACCATTCAGAGAAACCAAACTGTCATCATAGAGATCATGAAACCAAGTTTCTTGGAATGTAATTTCTCCAGCATTATGTTACACATAATAAGATATAAGAGATTGTAAGTAATTCACTTTTCTTTACAATGATCTACAGTTCATACTTATAATTTCAGACAAGTCATTTGAGATAAGTTCATTCACTTCAAAGCACGTGGCTATCCACCGTGACACTTTTTTCTCATCTTATTCGATACCGGCATCACAGAAGGCCGTAAACGTTTGCGTGAATAAACAATGAGATCAGGGAACATAATAAAATGATTGAAACGAAGTGTAGAAAAATTTGATGGAATATGTGAGATTGAAAATTTAGTAGCCCACATATTTGAGCAGGTCGCCAAAAATAAGAAATAGATTGGATTTTTGGAACTTTAGACTGGCATTCAAATCCATTATGTCATATGTGTAGTAAAGTGCCTTGATATAGACTACTATTAGTAATAGTCATATTTGTAAACTAGTTTTTCTATTGTCAGGCAATCTTGGATTGCTTTGGAATTGGTTTACTATTGTTCTACCATTTCATTCCTTTTTTGCCATCATTTTACGAATTTCCTCCTTATTTTTCTATCTTTTGTCTTGCTGTCGTCTACCGTGATTTACTGATTGATATAAGGTGTTTCAACTTGGACTTCTGTGTTGATGCTAACTGACTAATAATTTGTGGAATTTTCTCATTACAAACTAGCTTATGATATCAGAGAAACCTCTTAATCATGAATGGTTTCCACAATTTCCGGCATTCTTAGAAATCTCAGAATTTGGATTTGACCTGACTGTTATTATTATTTATTTATTTATCCCTTGGGTTCCTAATTGAATATAGGGCTTCAGTAGCACTTCTCCAATGCACTGTGTTCTCTGCAAACAGCTCAGAAGCTCTCATTTATTCCTCACACGATCTCCTCCATGTCACTCTCAGCTGGGACGCCCAACTCGTCGCTTCCCATCTGCGTTTCACTCGAGGGTCTGACCTGGCGTCTGATGTCCCCAGTCGGCCTTCTCAGTGTATGCCCAATCCATCTCCACTTCCTTCCGATGCATATTTGTTGAGCGATAGGTTCTTGGTCGGTTCGTTGCCCAGCCGGAGTTCCTTATTGCCTATTCTTTCTGGCGATCTGATCTTCAGTTACGAGCTTAGGCAGTTGTTGATGAATATTTGTAGTTTGTTGGAAATCCTTTCGTAACGCGCGAAGTCTCTGAACCATATAGAAGCACTGACTTGACGTTGGTGTTGAAAATCCGGATATTGTTCATGCTTTATGCTGAGTGCAGAAGATCTCCACACTGGTTTCAGGTTAATCAACCCCTGTTTTGCTTTTCCGATCCTGTCTTTGACGTCCTCGTCTGTGCCACCTGTATTTGAAACAGTGCTGCCTAGATAGGTGAAAGAGGCTACCTCCTTTAAGTTTCTCCCGTTGATGGTGATAGTGATCATGAGTGGTATTATGTAGCCTTGTTTCACTCCTGTCTTCACTTCAAAAGCATCGCTGAGCTTCCATTGTGAATTACTTGGCATGTGGCGTCTTCATACAGCTGTTGTTGAATGAGGTTGATAATGATTTGTGACACTAAAACCGTAATGTTGAAGCAAGTGCCAAATTACCTCTCGGTCGACACTGTCAAAGGCCTTCTCAAAGTCGATGAAGTTGAGGTAGGGAGTTTGACAGCCATTCTATACTCTGTTCTAAGATGATACGAAGCGTTGCGATTTGATCCGCACATGATTTGTACTTCCTGAAGCCTGCCTGTTCCGGTCGTAGTTTTGAATCCAGTGCATCCTTTAGTCTCTCCAGGATGATGCGACTTAATATTTTGCTTGCTTAGGGTGGACAGGAGCGTGATTCTGCGCCAGTTCTTGCAAAGATTTAGGTCACTCTTCATAATTTTGACGAGATAACCCTTTTTCCAAACTGCAGGCACCTTCCCTTCCTTCCAGACCTTCTGCAGTAGTGGTGTGAGCATGTCTGCTGATGTCTCTGCGTCTGCTCTCATTGCTTCTGGCGGGATTCCATCTCGTCCTGCTACTTTCCCCGCACTTCAGTAGCTTTATGGCGTTCAGGACTTCGACTTTTGTTAAAGAATTTGTGTTCACTGGTAGTTCTGTGGCTGCAGGTGATGGTCGGTTCAAGAGCTTTTTCAAGTGGTCAGCCCATCGTTTCCTTTGTTTCTCTTCTTTCGTAATTAAATTTTTTTTTTTTCATCATCTTTTAGACCTAACTGTTAGGTAATATGATCTATTATTCATACATTAACAAAATATTTTTCACAACAGACGTTAAAAATGAAGTTGTATGTTCACTTCTGTAGAAGATTCGTTTTTTTTTAGCGACAATCAGTTACTTGATAAATATTTGCAAACCTTAACTTTAGAATTCTTAAGTGTTAACTTTCTGTGTTAAGACGGACCAAAGAAATAAAATATGTAAAATCTAGTCAAGTATACTTTAGCCAATAATTGTACTTAACTTTATAGACAATTTATTCAGAAGTTATTTTACATATTATTTTGTAACCACTTTTATAAGGTTTCTTCCAACCCCTGACCAGTATTTCATACCTCATCGGTGAAATATAAACAATTAACGGTAAAGTGTATCCATTGCTTCGTAGACTAAATGGCTTTGTTGCACATGTTTAATTTGTTGCGTGTTGTGGACATTCTATCCAGTTGTATAAATGCATAAGTTGTAAATCTGAATGAGGAATCGCAAGTAAAAGACTGTTGAGTATCGTTTCTTGTGTTCTGTGTAACTAGTGAAGTGGTTGGGCGTGTTGGCGACTTCACTTACTTGAGAAGTGGAATCAACCCTGGTGAGTCAGGGGTGGACAAAATCTCTGCTTGTATACAAAAGGCTCGATTGACCTTTGCCAACTTACACTATCTATAGCTCCGCTGAGGAATACAATCGTCGATTTAGGTTCTAGCATAGTGCGCTGAATTTCACTCTGTTTTTTTTCTTTTTGGATGGGAAACATAGCCATTAAAGGTAGAGGATATAAGAAGGCCTCAGGTATCTGACCGACATTGCCGTTCATCTTGTCACCATGTGAGTAACGCAGAAGTCAGGTGTAGAGTTTTATAGAGGAAAGATTGTGAGCCCTCAGATCAGATGACTGGGACGTATAATCACTATCGGCACTTTAGAACAACGTTAACTGAAGAAGGTTCAGGTTGAAGAAAAGTTGGTCGCCCAGACCAAAATATGGCATCATCCCTTGAAGTCTTTGACTGTTGATGAGTTGTGTAACGAAATGCAGACTTCCGGTATACGGTCCAATCGACAACTGAAATCGGTTTTTGGAGAGTCTAGGTGTTATGGGTCATAACGGATTCATTGCTACAAATGCACCCATATATAATCACTATGCATAATTTCATTATTGTCTCATTCCTTCTTGTTCTTTTTTCATGACCTCCTACCACTTTCGACTTCTTTCTCTCTTATTTCTCTTTCTTCTTCGTACATTCTCGCTGAATGTTCTGATATTAGGGGTGATAACTTGGTACGTTACATAGTAGTTACCAGATTCCACACTGATGCCTACTGACTGACATGGTGATTTATCATCTTAGGAAGGTGACAGTGTTCGGGCCACTGAAACAATGAAGCGCATCGATAGTAGTAGTCACACGACTATTTTAAAGACATATGTGCAGTTATCAGTCTCAATCACGTGACTCAAGCTAAATACTTTGCTGTCAGAGTATATATATCGTGCATATCCCTTCTATATTACCGTCTAGACTATGTTTATCCGCTTCTTTCACCGCTTAATATTATGCAATATTTGTGTTATTTTATAAATTTAACTTAATGTTTAAGCATGCGTTTATATCTCATTTTGTTTTGTTGTTGTTGTAGATTAAATGAGATAGTGGTAGCGACTACACGCCTAGAAACTATGCTGGCTGATGTCGCTTTAGTCGTTCACCCCGAGGATAAACGTTATCAACACTTAATTGGTTGTCATGTTCAACATCCATTTTGTCCAAATAAACGTATTCTTCCGATTATTGCTGATGGAGAATTTGTTCAGCCTGAAATAGGCACTGGTAAGTTTGATGTATAAAACATTTTCGATCGGTTGAAACCACTCATACCAGCCTACGAACTTCGTATCAGAGTAATTTTAACACTAAACACTCACTTCCTTCTCTCGGGACTGAGTTTGTCAACTAACAAAGTAACTGGCTTGTTCAAGTCAACGGTATACTATGGAAATGGGTGCTTAGTTTCCAAATTATGGACAAACTATACGCTCTACTTTGACATTTCGACAGCTTAAAGGTAGTATCAATATGGTTTCTTTTGGAAAACCTTTCACCCAAGAACACAGAGAATAATTTCCGACACAGCGGTGTTATGAACTAGTAAAAGGTACTACTGAACAGGATAGATAGTTCGAAAGCCCTCACACTCTCTGGTAGATGTTGCTGATAAGCTCCGCCGAAAACGAGCGAAATAGTTGTATCCGTCTCATCTGGCTAGTCTGTAAATTTGTATGAGGGGTTTCTGACTACTTATGCTGTGCACTTGTATATTTAGTCAGTTAAGGATAGTGTTCTCTCACAGGTTACACTTCTTGGTTATATCTGAATGATTTCCAACGGAACTTTGGTAACACGACTGTTGGACAGGTAAGATAATAACTTTTCAGCTATGGCAATTGTCAACAGGAACTGTACAAATCGATCATCCACTTTTTTCAGTCTTTCCATGTATTCGCAAAAAAAACATAGTGTATTGTATTAGTACTTAGTAGGATTTATTTCTTGATGTCATCACCTTTATGATTGATATTATTTTCTGTTTGCAAATATTCACTGCTAAAAGGTTTGATAAGTATTCATTTAAAAGCTTATTAGAGTTGAGATAAACGTCAACCTAAGCTGTAAAAACTTTTACTGTCATGATGCTTTATGCACTGACGTTAGTTGGTGCAAATAGAACCGTTACATAATAGTGTGAGGTTCTGGTTTAGTTTTGACCGACTGAGTATGATTAAAAAGACAACAAGGCAGCGTCAGATGCTATATTTCAACGGTTGGCTGTGACTAAAGTAGGTGTAAACGGCATTTTTCCATTCTACATACTGGAGAACATGTTTACCGCTGGTTTAGAATCAGAGTTTATTTGTTTTCGTAAATGCATCTTCTACTCTCTTCCGCCGTCTCTTTGTTGTGAAAACACTCGTGTCACTTTGGAGGAAGTAGGTAGGAATTTCCTGACAAAGACGATGAACTCATGGTCATGTGACAGCATTACTAAAGGATGATGGATTTCATCTTGCTCTCAACCATATAAAGATGTTTTTCGTTGGTTGAAATGAATCTTCAGTCGACATGAATAGGTCACACCATTCAATTCCTATGAAGTCAGACATACCTAAGGTTGTGTTCATTAGTACGTCTGTGACCTAAGTTAAATAGAGGAACGGTAGCAGTGGACATTCCTGGCAAATGCCAGCAGTTGTTGTTAATTCACATGACAACTCTATAAACCCTTCTCATGCACGGCTGCTTGAGTCCCAGTAGATGGCTTCAATTAGCGTTATATACTTGCTGGATACCCCTTTCACAGACAGACACTCCCAAAACACCTCGCGGTCAACTGAGTCCAATGCCGCCTTCAGGTCAAGAAGTATGACAAGTGTCGGCCACTGGCTGGTAGGTATGCCTGTGTTCCAGAACCTGTCGTAGTGTGAAAATATGATGGAAGCACCCTCATAACAGTCTGAAACCTACCTGGTTTTCTTGAATTTGCTGTTCTTGTGCTCCAGTTAGGCTTCGGAGTAATTATGGACGCTAGGATCTTAGACACCACCTTCGTCATATTGATTCCCCTATGGTTGTCACACGATAACTTCTATCCGTTCTTATAGACTAGGATGATCAGTGAAGTAGACCATTCTGACGACACTGCCTATGATTCCCACGCACTACCTAGTGCTTCCGTCACTTTGAGCAGCAATTTCTTACCACCGTCTTTAAAAACCTCGGGTGGCAAACTGATATTTCCAGCAGCTGAAGTGTTGCTGTGGGTCAGTTGAGCTGTGCTTCAAAGTGTTCTGCCCAACGTTTTAGCCACCTATCCTGGGAGGTTGTTAGCGCCCCATCATTTACGATGGTGATTTAACTTACCATCGTTTTCTTCTCGCCGGTATCCTAAATAGGACTAGGTATCACCCAACGTTGATACTTTCTCGATCTCTTGCTTTCGCCACCCACCACTGCTTGCGATCGACTCGAAGACTCTTGATCAATTCACGTTCGAGTTGCTCTCGTTCTTCCCAGCTGCCCACACAGTGGAAGGCTATTTCTTCTCAAGGTACCTGGAGGATAAAAAGATTTGTGTGACTTCAGAGCCCATGGGACATCTACTTGAGCCCTTTTACATATGGTTTTTTCGGGATTGTTGGTTTCTGATTTCATTGTATGAACACCGGATAGGGAAAACAGATAACGCCAGCACCGGAAGACCGCAGGGTATCGAGTGGTGTGCTATTTTTGGGGTCTTCCAGAAAGACGATGAAAGCTTCACGATTAATCAACCCAGCTCAAAAAACGCAATATAACCCATACCATCCACCTGAGCTACAAATGTTCTCCATTATTTCAACCTTCTCTAACTATCCTTTCCCATGGCCAAGGCAGCATCAACATGATATTGCTGGTCATCCACATTTTTTGAATAATTGGTTGTCCAGATATAAGTCTTTGACTTTTAGACTACTTAACTATCATCATATTTTGCCACTGCTATTCTTATAATTATTCTTCCGTATATTGAGGTTAATGGGGTTTTGTTTTCAAGGTAGTATTCATCACAGACTGACACCAGTTGCTTCATATGTTAACAATGTGTCTTTTCATATGGGGGTTGATAAGAGGTTACTGATTGGAAGGTAGTTTTCATCATAGACTGATATCACTTGGAGGACCATTGAAAACCTGAGAGCACTGGATGGTCGTTTTGCTTCACTTAGAGACTATTTATCAGTGTATATCCACAAGTATACTACTGATGGAATCCGAAAATCGAAATGTACTCAGATCCGATAGAACCAATTAAGCAAAATAATCTAATCTATCAAATTCTATGTAACGACTGTGAGGTCAAGTACATAGGTCAAACTAACCGGTCAGGGTCAATTAGAATAGCGAAACATAGGAATTTAGCTAAATGTAGAATGAAAGACCCGAATAAGATCAATAAACCTGAAAAAAACTTGCATTGCATGCATTAACATACTACCACACAATACGGTAGGACAAAGCCACTGTACTTAAGCCCAATATAAATAGGTCCATTGAATCAACACCTAACACATGTAGTAGAAATGACGCAACACCTATACCAGAGATATGCCAAGTTTTACTACCAATAAAAACTCATATGAGGTGACATAACTATAAAATCAAATGACGAAAGTAGTGTGATTACACATCGATGTGATTATGAGGAATAATTTATGCTCGAAACGTCATCAAGTAAATAATACTACTTCACTGTATGTTATAAATCAAATAAGAAAAATCTAATATGGAATTAAATTCCACCACAGTGCTCAAGTTGTGCACTTATATTAATAAACCATGTTTTCGTTCATAAAGTGGGCAGTGAATTACACTTGATACTATTTGATTGCTCAAACCTCGATAGATGGGGCTTCTTTAAGGAATCTAGAAGATATATTCGCACTCCATAGCATTCTTCATTTTATTGCATTCGTCGTTCACATCACTATTTCTTCTTCTTTCTGCATCCTTATGTTATTCTGTATCAGTTTAGGGGGATACTTGTAAGGAAGTAACACTTCTCTTGAGTGTTTTACTTCTTTGTTTAAATCCTTCAGCTTATTGGATAGGATTCTAGCTCGATTACCTAAAAATCCAATGAAACCTTTCTTCAACTGGGTAAAGTGAAATGACATACGGTCCAGATATCTATTATAATGCAACGATTCCCTGTAGAAACTTGTGTCTGAACCACATTTTTCCACTTTTTTTTAAATTTTCAATCTAATATAGTTCTCATTGTTCGTCTTATAAGTCGAAGGTGATTTGTATCACATCTACGGAGTATGTGTGCGTTGGAGCTATGGATATGGTCGAATTTCAACATAGTAAATGTGTCATCCACATACACTGTCACTGTGCTTTCTCAGTACGATTAAATGTCCTAAGAGCTATGCTTTCTTAACTGTCGATGAAAATATCTGCTACGACTGTGAATATTGGTGACGCAATAGCAATTGCTTTTGTTTGTGTACATATTTTATCTTGGAACTAGGAGCGTCGAGTTAAAATAAGGGAACTTGTTACGTGGTGTCTTTATTTAATACCCTAGTTCTCTGAGTGATCTCGAGATCATTTTTTAGTTTGTTTTGACAACTTCCATAAGTGTGTTGGTTGGCATATTAGTATAAAACATTATTATGTTAAAGCTGATTTTTTTCCCTGTTTTATCCAGCCTTTGTTCTATTTCATGCGAGTTTGAATAATTTCTAGTAGCGCATGATATCGGCGCCAAATATTTAGATATTTCGTATGTTTTGGATTTCTTCAAGTCATTTATTTGTTTGATAACTTCATTCGACCATTGATCTAGTGATCTTTTTCATACCAGTGTCTACAGATTTGCTGATGTCTTTATATGAACTTATTTGGATATGTTCACTGACTTTCATCAAGTATCCGATATGTTCGTAACTGCTATTAAATTATTCTTATCAATATATGTTTTCGGCAACTCCTTTGAGTTTTAAAGTATGTACCATTCTTTTGAAGTTATCAAAGTTCAGAGAACACCAACCCCCGTCATCCTCATCCTGAGCTACCAATCTTTTCCATCATTTCGAAGTATGTTTTACCTGTTTAAACCGCAGTGTGACATATATCAGCCCAAAGAAATATTTTGCATTATTCCTCATCAAAAGTGTGAATCTAATATTAGCCTATCAAACTGATATACTGAAGTTCCGTATAGATGGTGACTTTTTTGATCGTCATCAAATTAAATTGCCACAAGTGGGTTCATGAAGCTTACTGAGGTTGTGACAGACAAGTAGTACAGAAATATAGTTTGAGGAACTTTGATCGACTGTGAAATATACAGCCGTGTGACCCATCACTAAGGAGGAGTGGAAATAAATTACCATTTGGAAAAACGAAATGTTTGTGCAATCACGTCTTTGTATATTACTCGGAATTTTTCGTGTGAGTCACTGATGTTCATTATGTTTGTATGACACCTAATCTTTTTCTGCTGACCTCAGAAGAATATGTACAGATAGGAAAAACGTCTGCAGGCATTTTGTCTTTGTGAGAATGAAAAACCTTTTACAGGACTTTTGTCTTTTCAAAGAGTACTTTATGACCCAAGTCTAAAGCATGTACCGCGACAGCAGTTGCTGTTTGGATCTTCTACCATATTCTGTTAGGTATAATAATATTGGACACGATATATGTTCAATGCTTGTAACATAACATTAACTACCGTCTACCAAACAGACACAGTTCTATTCTTCCAGATAGAAGATCGGTTTACCTAATGTGAATAGGTATGAGTGCAGTGTTTTTTACTTTGAAGAATACTCTGACGTTGAAAAACTATTTAGGATACCTCTTATCTCTTCTGAAGTGTATGCACAATAAGGAACTACTGCAGTACTTATGCAGCCTCTACGAGTTTTTTTCGACAAACTTCATCTCATTTATTTTTGTAATGTTTCCGGATAGTTGTTTTGTTTTAGGACTTTTAAACAAATAACCTAACTACATTGTGAATTTCCTGTTTATTCAGTGTTTTTTGGGATCTCGTCAACAGATTTTTTTATATTTAATTTAGTTGCCAGTGAGTGAGCTGAATGTGCAGTATCTTGTAGATAGATGTCAATGTCAAGTTTACCGTCATCGTTTTGTATGGCTCTACAATCTAGGAAAGCTAGCGTATTTTTGTGAAATTCAAGCGGCTGTTTAAGCATTGGATAAGTTGTGCTAGACCTTATCTTTCGGTTATGAGGAAGGTGTACACCTACCACATTTTTGTTTTTAAATCGTAATTTGACTAAGCTGGTCGGACTCAACTTTGTTAATGAATACTATAAGTTAGTTACAAAGGGTAAAACAGGTGAGTTTATTGCTATCCCACTAGCTTGACGATAAAAATTTATTCGAAGGGTAAAAAAATTGAGTTTCAAAATAAGTTGAGGGTGTCATGGATTTCAATGGTGAATATATAACATCTAAATGTGTTTTTTAAACTATTTTCCTCTTCATTTCAATAAGGTGTTGTAAAACTAAGTCCAGGTCATAGTCCCATTGATTGGCAAGTGGCGAAACGATATCAACTTCCTATCATTCATATATTTGACGATTCTGGATGTATATTAAATACTGTGGTTGAGTTTGTGGTAAGTTTCTTTTTCCGAATAGAAAGTGAAATTAAGGAATTTCAATTCTTTGACAGTATACCTTGTGTCTCTCTATCGTTGACTAGATCAAATACATCGGCCACTGTTGTCTTATGGGGTCCTATGCGGATTCCTCGCTACTGCCAGTATTTCCAGCTTTGATATTAGTGAAATCCAGAACGCGCGTTTTCTCGCATCTAGGACTCGTCAGGTGAATATACCTGCATCTCAGAAGTGTTGTTCCTACTAAGAGTAGAACCTGGGACCGATAGGCTTCAAACACCAGAGTGGCTATCGTGACTTGGTGGCCCAATAGATAACGCCCTGGCATTTCAATCCATTGGCTCGGAGTTCCAGTTATAGCGGAAAAAAACAACACTTTCTGGGAGACAGGTACATCCAACTGATGAGTTCTAAGTAAGATGAAACGTCCGCCTTGAATTCCACTGCTTGCTAATATCCATCACTAAACTTCACTATTTTTGTCTTATCATATTTCTGAAGTTATTGGGAAAAACGACTTCTAGTTAGTTAATCATCGACTTTAGTAATCGACTTTCAAGGAGTGGAACTTGTGTTCGAACTACAACCCACCTACTTTCCACTAGGCAACCAGGAAGTGTGATAAACCTTCAAACATTGAGTGCATCTCATAGCCTAGGAGAAAAATAAACGTGTCGGATTAAGTTGTTTGTATTGATAATGATCAACAGATTTTTACTATCCTAGTCATAGTTGAAGTTAAATGCAAATTTATATCAGTGACGAGAGGTTGGTCGGCAAAATATTCCGCTTTGCTCACTTTGTTTACCTAAGTGTCTAAACACTGCATATTAGACATGTTTGTTCGTTATACAGCGTAGCGATATGCAATAAATGCTCTTTACTCTATGACATAAGATTCGAGCACAATTTATTACTCGTATTCATATCAGAGTAATCAAACAAATCACATGTAGTTAGTATAATTCATATTATTTTGCAATCTCGTCAAGTTCACTTGTCGGTCCTAATCCTGTATAAAGAGGGAAGGTTGGGCATACGAATAGCAACCCTACACCCGAAAACCAATCCAATCACTAAACAAACTTCAAAGCACAAACAAAATGTAAAAAATAAAAATAAACTTATTCCTCCATGGAATCGAGGAGACCAAATCACGCCAGTTGGGGAAAGTCTGCGAGAAGCCAATTGGCCTATATGTCTTCTCTCTCTCTCTCTCGATGTAAGCAAAAGTAAACATGGGGACATGGAATCTCCTCACAATGTATGAACCTCACTGACAAGGCTGCACAGATTGCAAAGGAAACGACAAGCTTTAGCATAGAAGTTCCATATTAGATTTGTTTATTTGATATAAAGCGCACAGTGATGCAGTATTATTATTATTATCAAGTAAATAATACTGTATCGATGTGCGCTTTATATCAAATAAACAAATCTAATATGGAATTACATTCTACCACAGTGCCCAAGTTTTTCACTTATATTAATGGCATAGAAGTGCTTGAAATCTGCAAAACCAGATGCCATGCAAGTCGACTCCCCAAACTCTTAACTCCACAGTCAATAATCTAATCCAATATTGTCACTCAGATGACAACCAGGAGTGCACTGAGTTATCGAGTGGCTATCATCATGTCCCCTTGAACAGCATCGAAGGCTCTCTCTCATACAGTGGGAACCGATCTCCGCCTGCAGCATCAACACCGTGACAGCAAGATCCAACTCAAAACGAAGTAAAGTTACAGCGACGTGACGTGACGCTATGCTATGCTATGCACCTACAAATAATGCAGATCAAGAGAAGAAGGAGGAATTCTACAGACAACGGAAATCACTAATGGACAACACCACACCACAGAGGGAGACATCAAAATTCATTCTAATATGCGGGGTGAAATGAATGCCAACTGGTAGCAGACAACACAGAAAGAGAACTCATCATGGGTTGAGAGGCACTCAGTGAAATGATGTGTGAGAATGGAGAACTGTTTACAGATTTCTCCACCTTCAATGATTTGGTGATTAGAGTCAGACAGTGTGTGTGTGTGTGTATGTGTATATACAAACACAAGGATATTGACAAGGCAGCAACATGGAGTTGATGTCACCAGACACTAGGACACACAACGCTGAAAACCAGGTCCGCTTCTTCTCAATGTGAAGAAGGTGGAGACGCAGCCAGCCTAATGGACACAAGATCACATCAAGAAGGCGAGCAGATGTAGGTGGTTCACACACACCACTCACTATCTAGTGCAAGAAACCACCCTCGAAATCAAGGTGAAAGCCTTCACAGAAGTTGGTGATGATAGACCACAGTTGAAGTTCAACACCCAGAACAGAAACTGAATTGAAGGATGAAACTACAAAGGACACCTTCACGTCAGTCAGTCAGTCAGTCATCAGGACGAAATGGGAGAAATTGAGCAACATCCCGGAGAAAAGCTGCGTAGAAGAACACTGAAACTCTTTGAAACAGATGTGCAAGGAAATCCGGATAACCGTGTTAGGAAGGCAGAAGAAGCGGCAAAACAAGGAATGCATCTTCACGGACACATGGAAGCTGATGTAGGAGGGAGAGGAAGATGGTGAAGCAGAAGATGAACCTGTGCAGTGCATGGTGGGGAAGAACAACGAAAACAGGAACTGAATACGATCTATAAAAACACTGGACAAAGAAGTGAAGAAGAGTGTACGGAGAGACAAAAGACACTTCTATGACACACTTGCAAGTGAAGCAGAACAGGCTGCAGGTAGGAGAAACAGAGACCTGAAAACATTATATGAAATAACCAGGTTACTTACTATCTGGGAGGGAAGAGATCAACACAGATGGAACCAATGAAAGATAGTGAAGGAAACCTAGTTGACACCAAAGAGGAAAAACAAAGGAAACGATGTGCTGATCACTTCAAAAAACTCTTCAATCGACCAACACCACTACCAACACCACTTGCAACTCGTCCAGAAATACCACCAGCAACCCAGACACGAACTGTTAGTGAACACAAGCTCTCCAACAAAAACATAAGTGAAGTGCTGAATGCCACAAAGTTGCTGAAATCCACGAAAGCAGCAGCACCAGATGGAACTGTTCCAGAAGCACTGAGGACAGATGCAGAGACAACAGTGGACATGCTCACACCACTATTGCAGAAGATTTGGAAGGAGGGAGCGAAAGGTGGCTGCCATCTGATTGGAAGAATGGCTCCCTTGTAAAACTCCCAAGGAAGGGTTACGTAAGTCCTAGCAAGAACTGGCGAGTGATCATGATCCTGTCCACCCGAAGCAAGTAATATATGAAGCCGCATCATCCTGGAGAGACTAAAAAAGATGCTCTACATTCAAAATTACGACGGTAACAGGCTGGCTGGCTGTCTTCAGGAAGAACAAATCATGTATGGACCGATGAAAATACCCCAGAAGAAGATTTGGATTTCGCCGATGGTGATTTATATCTAATGTCTTGTCACACAAACTCGAAGATCTACAGGTTAGTAGAAAAGGTAGGGCAGCGGAGGAAGACAGGTCTTCCTTCACGTTAACGTAGAGAAGACAGAGGTGATGAAGATACCGAATACCAACAATAACACCACAACCAACAGCAACAACACAAGAAACACTAATCGCCACCAACGGGAGAAATCTGAAGGAAGTTGTCTTTTTCACCTACCTACCTACCTAAGCAGCATCGTTTCAACTACAGGTGGCACAGGTACAGATGAGGACGTGAAGACAGGATCGGAAAGACAGCAATACAAACCTTCATCAGTCTGAAATCAGTGTGGAGATCTACTGCACTGCACTCCACTGCACAAGCATAAAGCGCGAACAACATCCAGATTTTCAACACTAGTTCAGTCAAGTCATTCAGTGCTTCTATATGATCGTTGAGAGACTTGGTGCGTTACCCAAAGCACTTCCAACAAACCACAGACATTCATCAACAACTGCCTACGCTCGTTACTGAAGATGGAGATCAGATGGCCAGAATAATAAGAATAAGCAACAAGGAACTCTGGCTGGCAATGCATCAACCAAGAACCCATCACCCAACAAATATACAGAAGAAAGTGGAGATGGATTGGGGATACACTGAGAAGGATGATGGGAGATATCACGCGCCAGGCCAGACCCTCGAGTGGAATCCAGAAGGGGAAATGAGGAGTTGCGCGTCTGAAACGAGAGTGACATGGAGGAGACCGTGTGTGCAGTGGTGGCGCCAGGTTGGAAAGACTGGAGAGAAGAGAGTGAAATGGCAATGTGCTACTGAAGCACTATGTTTCACTAAGAACCGCAAAGGAGTAATAATAATAATAAATATTAATATTATTTTGTATTTACAATATTAGACGAATGTTCGGGATTTCCGGAACATTAGCACACTTGCGTTGTCCCACCTTATTGAATTGAACTGTGTCAGTCCATCTATTGTAATATATCTGTGGTTGTCCTGAATTATTAATCTAAGAGGGTTCTACCATTTAAGAGAAAGAGAGAGGGGAGATAGGGAAGGAGGAAAAGAGAGAAGTGACAATATATATAGGAACTACTTGCAACGGAAACAGTATCTGTTGAAGAATGACATATTCTAAAACGGAAACAAAATGTTGCATCAAAATCCAACAAAAACTAGCAGAGTATATTAGTATATTATAGATCAGATGAGTTGAGGATACTTGACCTTCAACAGGTTAGACATTAACTAGATGACTACACTCCACTGGTATATATTCATCTTCAAATTTTTACACTGAAATCAAAATATTGTTCAATTTTATCAGCTAAGGTGTTCGCCAATCTACCATTTTGGTTATAGGTTTGAACACAGTCTTCAACTATTTCCATTTCTATAATCAGGATATATCATTTGCCCTGATAATAGGATAGATGGTGTTCACGAATACGGTGCAGATTCAAGCTAGCGATGTAGTTCGATACGCTACTGTCAGATAGATGGAAGAGACTGGATTTTGAAACCCCATCATTATGATCCTCAACTGAGCTACCACTAGTAAGCAGAATAAAACTGGAATTGTCCATATCAAAATTCTAACAACAATTAAGTCTATAAATACTCAGTCCATAGTTGTTACAAGTGGCCTGTAAGGGAGTTGAGCTCCAATTTTGATTTTATGTTCATATTTTGCATAGGAAACGGTGGCGTACACAGTGAAAATCTTGTCTTGATTTTCCAAACACCATGTGATTACACAAAAGCTTACTTACATAACACTTAAATCTATTTTTGAGGTTTGTGAGGACTGACTTATTTTGAATTGATATTCATCACAGACTATAAAGTGGAGAACCATTAGAGGCTTAAGAGCACTGATGTCAGTTCATTTGGAATATCTATTTATAATGAGGATTTCCAACTTTTACAAGAGGCATTTTGTGCGAATCAGCTTTTTTCTTTAACTCGAATTTCTCATTGAAACACAGCGATGAAGTATTATTTATTGGACGGTTTTTCAAGCAGAACTTATCGCTTCCATATAAATATGCTTTATTTCAGGGATTACCTCGATTTCAAGCACGTCATCACTTGGTTGAAAAACTTTCTGAACTAGGTTTATATAAAGGTAGACAAGATATTGGAAGTAATGGGGGTCGAACTGTACTGCCAGTTTGTTCACGATCTGGAGATATTATCGAGCCTATGATCCGAAAACAATGGTTTGTGCGAACAAAAGAGTTGGCTGAAGCTGCAGTCAAGGTTAGTTTTTGTTATACGTTATAAAAGATTGGAAGAGAAACAACTACATACTCTAAAGTATTGTGATGTTCACAATTTCAAGGTATTTTACCATTATTTTTGCAGACGAAACGTTGTTTGTCTTTATTGCCAAAATCTACTTAGGTTCAAGAATGATGCATATCGGTTTTTGCTGGCATTCATTACTCCCATTAATTTCAATTCCCTTCAACAAATTGTTTCGAAGTGAGGAGGAAGGACAATTTATGGTTGGAGATCCTGGTGAATTTGGGTTAAAATCAATTGCCGAGGTTCGGGCATATTCACTTTCTTCCATCTTCAAAATGATCTCTATTTAATTTGTGGTTTATGAGAATTGATTCGTTGGTCTTAAGTTATCTTTCACCAAGTTTTGATAATAGTTGAGGAATCATTGAAAACCTCTTAGTATTGGACAGCTGTTTTTGCCTTGTTTGAAATACTCAGCAGTGCACACTAACGACCCCGGTGTCATGGCTCACGGGATACCATTCAGCCATCGGGTTGGAATTCGATGGCCCACTAATGTTTAGTTCTATCAATTAGCGATACAACTCATCCATCACCTTCTGCCATCATTTATTTGTTTTATCCCCTGTCCTATTCTTCTCGGTTTATTCTGCGGAATTGCGGCAAAACAAGAAAGTGCACTTACCAGCCGTATGAAAGTGCATGCACTGGGCAACGAACCACAACTATTGTGTGTGAGGGTTAATGAAACTGTATGGCTGTCCGGACGTCGATAGGTTGATCGGCATTCTAAGTCGTGTCCCAGATGAATGAACCTCAGCTTTAGATCTGTTATCTTAAAGTATGGCGATTTAGAACACTGTAATTTCTCACGGAGTTCTGCATTGTTTTGTCTCTACTTAATTGTTTGCTCCCAGTACTGATATTCAAAATGATTGAATCGCGCTTCAGTGCAACCAGTCAGGCTGTAGACATATTTTATGTTGAACATTGAAGTCAAAGAGTTAAATTTCAGCAGCATAATGTTTGATATGCTTTAAACCAGGGATTCAGTGATTTTTAGCTAAAGGTTTTTCCAAAGTTTCCCAGTTTTAAATTTGTTACAATTAGGAGTTGATGTGAATGTTGACTACTAATTTTCGTTGGCTTACTTAAACCTTGACTTGCCAAATATTTTTCACAATAAATTACATCAAGTTACTTCTTTTTTGATGTTATTTTGAAAGTCGGATTATGTACTGTCTCTCATTTCTAACATGTTTGCAACCTATCACTTTGGAACTTGCAAATAAATTAGAAGAAGCATCACTGTTGGTTGCAGTGGACTGTTGAGACATAACAACACTTCCGATAACCATTCCCTAAGGAATTTCAGATTCTCATGTTGGCTAGGATGACTACTACAGGTTGACCTACTCAGGCTTTTCTTTTCGACTTCTTTCCTCCCGTCTCCTTCGGTAATATTATTAGTACTGTTATTAATAACATTATTTGGATGCTATAACTGTTTCATTCGAAAACTATAGTACATAGTATAAATTTATTGAAATATACCCAGAATTTCACACTTTATGAAAAGTATCCTTGTTACTTTAAGCTTCTGTTTTGTTTAAATCTGAATCGCTTGTTTTTAATAACATTTTAAATATGCATATCCTTCTTTACCTTGTTATGCAAAAACAGTTATTCTACTGAACAGTCTGTGGCCTACACAGCGAAACGTTCAGAAATGTCTTCTGATTTTCTAAATATGCTGGGATTATATTAAAATATATTTTCTTATAGGTCAGATTTGTAAGTCAAATTTAAAGGAGCATACAAACATATGAGTCCTGATATTACCGTGTAGCTCATAAAACCTAATTGTCAGTTCTAAACCTTGTTTTTCAAAAAATATTATTGATGGAAGCAGATATATAAGTATAAATGTCTAAAACAAGCAACAAGCAGGATTTATTGTACCCTACATACGTGATTTATATACTATTATGCAGTAAATTAATACGTACACACAAAATACAGACTAAGACATTGACTGAGGTATGACAACACTGAGTAAATCATTTACTTATGCCAAACAGAGTATATTTTCATATAATCCCACCATGGTTAGTAGAGCTAAGATTAGGTTGGGAGGGGGTAACAAATTGGTAGTAAAAAATAAAAAAGACTAGGGATGGATTACATCATTTCGAACAGAACAATTAGTATTATCATTTGACTATCTGAAATAGCCGTAGTTTGGCAGACTAGTATTTTGTGCTGGGTGATGATGGAAGGTCCAAGTTTTCATCTCATCTTCAATCATTACCCAGTATAGAACAATTAGTAGTTAACTCAGTAGCTTGATAAAGGTGCACACTGAGAGAACATAAGTGTTAGGTAAGCAAAATATTGATTATAATAGTGATAATATGAGTGAGTGGTAATAATGATAACAATGAGAATATGAATATTAAAAAGATTTAAAAAATTACGTCATTTTGAACAAGGCAAATGAACATCAATTAAGAAGCTTGGTAACTATAAAACTAATGGAGGCTAGAGTAATAGTTAAACGATAACAATGAAAGTGACAATGGAGGTAAGTCATTTAAAAATCCAACGAAGTCCAAGAGGACATGTTAGTCTAGAGGTGAATACGCGAAGTAGAGGAAGAAATAAAATAGAAAAAGCAAGACACTAATGTTCAAAATACTTCGACACCCCTACCATGATAGATTAAGAGTGGCTACAATCTCTTTCTGTACACAATAGATGTTTGAACAGTAGCCTTCAGACTCCAGTTTCGCTATTTATGTTTGCTCAATACCTTGGAAAGTAGAAAAGGTGTGTGTACAAAATAAAATGGCATATGGCTAATTCCATGCTCTTCTAGAAGGGCATTCTCTATTGATTTTGTTTCTTCAACCAGTTTGATATTAACACATTTAATCACATGCGTTTTCAAAAATGATTATTTTTGAAGACCTCATGTGATTTCTCTGAAGGATCTGGACAATCATATTACACATTGTAACCAGTATCTATGTCTTGACTAACCTTGTACCTATGCAGCACAGTTCAACCGTCAAAAATAATCAAACAGTTGCAAAATATGCTACAGTACCATACCATTCTCTCATCAATTAATGTGTGAATGATCGATTGTGATTCATGTGCAAGCTGTTTTCAGTTGATGAAGTGAAAAAATATTCGTTTTCATTGTATACTGCGAAGTCAGCACCCGGTAGTCATGTGTATTATCCAAACGTCATTCTAAAGTAAATTTCAAACCTGTGACTGAAAAGTAATATGCATCCTAAAAGATCTGCTGGTTCTAGACGTAACTTTAAACAATTCTTAAACTATAATGGAGTAGCTAACTACTAATCTTAAAAAATGATTCAATCCATCAATCCCTATTACTCCGACTAATACTAGTCCAGTAATATTTCTCAACACTGTTTAAACATTTTTCTTTTGTTGTCTTGTCAAAGGTCGTCCAGTGCAATCAAATGGAATTGATTCCATCATATCAAAAGTTAGTTTGGTCAGAATGGTTGAGTCCAGAAAATCATAAAGACTGGTGTATCAGTCGTCAACTTTGGTGGGGTCATCCTATTCCAGCATATAAGGTGAGTTAATGAAACATGACCCGTTTTGTAACTTCAGATTTATTTGAAAATTACTTTTATTATGATGAAAAGTATAGCTTCAGTCTGCTCAAGAATTTCTCACATACCCTTGGTTACCAATTCTCTATTAGTGTAACCACTAGAAATTGTGGTTAGTTTGCATATCTTAGTTTCATGACTTTATTTTTTTCAGATTCCAAGTAATTTGTTTGTCTTATGTTTCTTCCCAGTGACGTGTAAATGTGTCAGATAATCAGAGTGTATGGGTTAACTGTTGTCTGTTGCTTCATAAGTATCTATGATGCCGCGCTAACCACCTTTGACAGACAGACAAACCAGGGTAGGATCGGTCCAGAAGTACTGCTGTTCAAGTAGTTCACAGTAGTATACAAAGAACAGGTGGTTAGAATAGGAATAATATCAAAGTAGACAGAGTTATTTGAGAGAATAAACAGTCTGAAGATGACAATTAGTGCAAATATTCAAGCTTTAGAGGATGTCAAGGAGTGAATACTTCTGCTCCATTGTGACTGATTTTCAGCCATATCACCATGAGTTCTTAAACACTGATTCCTTTCGTCACAACAATCCCGTCCGGGTAGTCCACATCTCGAAAGACCCAGACCGAGAGTAAAATACCTCATGAATATGAGTCACATTCCAGAATGGCCACACTGAAATTTCTTCAAACCTAATCCAACGTCCCCTAGCATGACATATTGAGCTAGATGGCGGTCACTCGACATGTGCAGTACATGTCCAAGCCTATCTGAGTCGATTAAAGTTCACAACCTTGACAATCGACTAGCCTGTCTCACCTGGAATCCTTCCCCCGACCTCAACATTGCTCATGCGGTGATTCCACCACACGCGAGCAACGCTACAAAGACATTTGTGGCGAAAACCCAGTAATCCCTTCATGTCTTCTGCTTTCAACGGCCATGTCTCCCGGCCCTATAACAGGACAGAACGGGCTTCAGTGCAGTATATTCGTCCTTTGATAGATAGTTGAATATCTCGCCAATCGGTGCTACAGTTGACACAAGTTGGCAAATGCCAAACCGGGCATTTTGTATCCGAGCTAGCACAGAATAGTTTTTCAAAAATCAGAATAATCTCCGTAGTTATGAACTGTACAAAAATTATATTGGTTTTAATACTCCGATTGTGTGTTCAGCTGATACCTTCCACTTTGTTTTATTTGACAAACGCTGATGGGTGAAGCTATATGGTTGTGTCTCTACTTATTACTAACATATGACAGTTTGATATTAAATGATAAGGCATATGTGAATTATTTGTGTAGTGTTTAGTTTGGTATTCAGAGATGTAATGGACTACGTAATCGTCCACAAGATGGTGGGTGTAATATGCGAGCTATGAAATCATACAAGGTAAAATCGTTTCCGAATATGAGCAAGATACTTGAGTGTTCTCTTGATGGATGTAAAGTGGATGAACAGAGAAAGACTGCTCCTAAAGAAGAGGATTACAGTGAAGAGGTTAGTTAGGATGAAATTATAAGACCGATAAGCGATAAATCTGCATCTGTAGGGTATCATTTATTACATGCTTTTTTGAACATCATTTGCTACCGTTAGTTGTACCAACATATCTTCACGTCAGCTATAAAAGAAAATGGATGACATTAGGAAACATCCTGGAGAAAAGCTGTATGGAAGAACACTGGAACTCTTTGAAAGAGATGTGGAAAGAAACCTGCATAAACGTGTTAGTAAGGAAGAAGAAGCGGCAAGACAAGGAATGCATCTCCACGGACACATGGAAGCTGATGGAGGAGGGAGAGGAAGATGGCGAAGCAGAAAATGAACCAGTGCAGTGCAGTGCAGTGCATTGCGAGGATGAACAACGATAAAGGGTCTAAGTACAGTACAGTTAGGGAGGAGATCAACCGAGATGAAACCAATGGAAGATGGTGAAGGCAACCTAATTGACACCAAAGAGGAGAAACAAAAGAAACAATGGACTGACCACTTCAAAAAACTCTTCAATCAACCAACACCACCACCACTTGCAACTCGTCCAGAGATACCACTAGCAGCCCAGCCACAGAATTTCCAGTGAACACAAGTCCTCCAACAAAACAGAAGTGAAGTACTGAACACAATAAAGTTGCTGAAATCCACGAAAGCAGCAGCACCAGATGGAACTGTTCCAGAAGCACTGAAAACAGATGCAGAGACAACAGTGGACATGCTCACACCACTATCGCAGAAGATTAAGAAGGAGGGAGCGAAAGGTGGCTGCCACCTGATCGGAAGAATGGCTACCTTGTAAAACTCCCAATGAAGGGAGACCTAAATCATTGTAGGAACTGGCGAGTAATCATGCTCCTGTTCACCCGAAACAAGTAATATATGGAGCCGCATCATCCTAGAGAGACTACAATATCCTCTGCATTTAAAATTACCACCGGAACAGGTTGGCTGATTGGCTGTCTTCAGGAAGAACAAATCATGTGTGGATCAAATTGCAACGCTACACTAAGCTACGCATCATCATAGAACAGAGGATAGAATGGCAGTCAAGTGGGTCTTTACCTCAACTCCATCGACATTGGAAAGGCCTTCGACAGTGTCGACCGAGAAGTAATTTGGTAGGCAGCTGCTTCAACACTACGGCTTTAGTGCCACAAACCTTTATCAACCTCATTCAACAGCTATATGCTATATAATGCTACATGCCAAGTAATTCACAATGGAAAGCTCAATGAAGCCTTTGAAGTCAAGACAGGGGACAGGAGTAAGATAAGGCTGCCGCCTACTATCATCACTGATATTCTTCCTGATTGTGGTCGACTAGACTGAACCGGATCATGAAAGAAACTGTGAGGAGCTGTGAGAAGATGAGCACACGCTGGCTGGACCGATGAAAAGACCCCAGAAGAAGATTTGGATTTCGCCGATGGTGATTTATGTCTAATGCCTTGTCGCACAAACTCGAAGATCTACCGGCAGAAACCAACAAGTTGACAGAAGAGGTAGGGCAGCGAAGACGGGACTTCAAGTGAGTGTGGAAAAGACAGAGGTGATGAAGACACACAACCACCACGACCACCACCACCACTAACAACAACAACAACAGGCAGTAATCACCATGAATGGGAGAAACCTAAAGGAAGTCGTCTCTTTCACCCACCTATCTACCTACCTAAGCAGCATCATTTCAACGACAGGCAGCACAGGCACAGATGATGATGTCACAGCAGCCAGGATCAGAAAGACAGCAAGACAGGCCTTCATCAATCTGAAACCAGTGTGGAGACTTACTGCACTCAGAACAAAGAACAAGAGCTGGGATTTTCAACATCAATGTGAAGTCAGTGTTTCTATGTGGTTCAGAGACTTGGCGTGTCACGAAACGCATTTCCAACAAACAAACTACAGACATCCATCAACAGCTGCGCCTACGCTCACTCGATACTGAAGATGGAGATCAGATGACCAGAATAATAAGAATAAGCAACAACACACTTCTCATAAAGTGCTTCTGATGGCGATAAGTCGACAAACAATTCGCAATTCGTACTGTACTCCAACCAGCTTCTGTATTTCGGATTTTCTGCATCAGTTTGATGGTTTTGCTTTCAAATTTGTTAGAAGAAGTTCATAACAGATACCTCTACTATCATGGAAAATCTGAATGAAATTCAATAGAATGATATCGATTAAACCAAAAAGTTGTAGTATCAATATTATGGGGTAATATTTGTAGCTGAGGAGGATAATTTTGATGATGTCGTGTTCTGTGATTCGGATTGTTCAATCGTGCAGTTTTCGTTGTCATTCTAGACATCATAAGTTGTGGTATCACCTTTGAGTGACTATCAGAACTATATTACTTCTGGTACGTCATCTAGTGAATAATACTGTGTCATTGTGCAGTATTTCAAATAAACATGTTTAGAAGGTAAAACTTCTTCCCAACCTATTTATTACACAGCTCTGAATCAGTTCATACATAGTGAGGCCTGAGGTTTTTTTCTAGATGCCTCATGTTATTTAGTTCAGTCATTAAGAAGAGTCAATTTGTTGATATGAATCATTTTCAAATGTGAATCAGTATCCCTATTATTGCTTTTGTCACTTTCTTCCCTTCATTGGATAAAATGGGATTAGATATGAAACAAAACGTCGTTTCGTTGTGCAAACTTCGTTGGTGGGTTGGTCTTCGTTTACGTGAGGGCAATGATCATCAAGGTTGAAGGGGAACTTGAATTTTGATGAAACTTGACTGAATCAGAATATTTGGTGACTTTTCCACCTTAGTCATTTCTCATATTGTGATATTGCTATGTGTGATAATCACTGCTAACCAACTGTTTTTACCAAGTTGTTCACATTTCTAAGGTATGAATATGCTCTACTACTCTCAGCTTTATTAACCAATCACCCCCACTTTATGTTTGTCGGTTTACATAGCGGGATAGGATGCATTTTTGTATAGTTGTTATACCGTTTATAAGTTTTTAGTGCCTTCATCACGGATCTTCATTGGCTACAGAATCATTGTAAAACAATGGGAACTAAACAGTTGTTTTTGTCTAGTTCAGGACTCCTTAACAGTATGAATCCGTAACCCTCATATTGAATGGTGGTCGGATATTGTCACATCTCATTTTGAGTACTTTATTATGTGCCTAGTGGGGTTTGCATGTATGAACTGGTGTGGATTATTTACACAATATTATGCTAATTTCGTCTGTTATGCTTATGAAACCACTTGACTATGCTGAGAGTTGTATTTTTCTTACTCCCCAACCCAGTAATTAAGGTTAAATTTTCTTCTTAATGAGTTATTCTCTTTCTGTTTATTAATTTGCTGGAGGTTAGGGAGAAAAATTTCCCTTGTAAGGCGATACTCCAACATATTGATTGCATTGTGCTTTCCCAATTAGTACAAAAAGGTCATCAGCTTACAATAAGTAGATAAGTGTGTGTGTGTGTATGTGTAAGAGAGGAAATAAGTAGTGTCAGGACTACAGTGTCACTCATTTATAGAATAAATTCTAATGAAGCAAATACATCTACTAAATTATCAATTATCATGTTGACAGTTATGTATGCAGTAGGCTTTTAGAAATCCACCAAGACTGAATTGAAACTAATTAACACGGTTTTCACTTGTCTCTGGAGACGATTGTGTATGTGTAGGAAGGAGAAATATGTGTTGATGTGTTCTAGTTCAGTTATGATCATAAGGAAAATTCGCTGTACTGTGTATTACAAATACAACTGAAATAACTTTTTTCAAGGAAAAACTGTACTTATATTCATTTTCACTTGACTATCTGAGACAGCCATAGTTTGATAGACTAGTATTTATACTGCGTGATGATTGAAGGTGAAATGAAAATTTGGACCATGGCCGGATTGGAACCAGCGACCACTGGGTTCCCGGCCCTCGTAGCTAGGTTGGTAGAGCATCGGGTCGGAAGCCCGATGGTCACTGGTTCGAATTCGGCCACGGTCAAAATTTTTATATTCATTTGTAAGTGTCATAGAAATGGTGAACTCTATACTGAATATTATCTATTAACAATGGAATTTAGAATTTATCTTTCTATCTAGTGACTCTTCAGGTAAGTGTATACTTGCATTCTTGTGAGTAGTGGTGGTCTCATCAAGAACCTAAGCCAAGCAGTTATCGCTCCTAACATCAAAGTATTATTCCAGCAATGAGACCGATTTTTGTTAGGCACCAATATTTCAGTTTCTTGACAACTGGTCTTAGTCGTGTGAGAAAATACAGGATACTTAAGAGTTAATGCTGACAAACACTTGACAATGTGGCTTAAACTAGATTATAATGACACAGGCGTATTCATTGCCGATTATGTTTGAAATTCTGATCGCTTTAATAACACTCCGTTATTCGTTCCCTTTTCTTCGATATAGTTCTTTCTTAAGTCTAGAGTGTTTGAAAGTTTAGCAACTTGAATCGATGCACTTTTCATGCAGTCACTATTTTATCTGTCTGAATATTTTATGACTTCTCTGAAGTTTTGAAGAAACTACGTGTAAAGCTTGTAATGTGTCATATTGATCGTAGAAGGAAAAATAAGAAAAAGAAATTTCACCTCAACCTACCTTTTAGCATTACTGTATGGCTCAGGTCAAGAGCTTTGTATTAACCTTCACTGGTTTCTGCATGTTCTATAGTCTGGAAATAACTGTTTTTTGTTGAAGGAAAGCAATAATCGTGGTCACCTCCCTCTTCTCTGTAAAGAATCATTGATTTCGTTTCAGTGAACTTCAGCACATTGGGAGCAGATAATTCCGGTGTTGTATATACGCATGACTCAGATCACAAATGTCAAGGATATTGAGTATCATTTTTGTGTTTTATTGAATGGAGCTGGTTAAAGGAAAAGTCAGTCGTGTGAACTGGGTATACACGATACTGTCGTTGTTCGCGGAATTAACTTTATGTTTAGTCTAGTCTTCAACTGGGAATCACAAGTAGGCTTCGAACTGTCATCAGGTTCACTATAATCTCTACGGATAGATACGAACTTCCGTAGTGTACACTCTGATTGATTGCTTTCTATCGGTTGTTTCCAGTTGTCCGACAGAGTAAAATTAATAAATATATTATTTTTTAAGGTGATTGGCGAATATCACTCTGTTATAACAATATTATTTTCAAATAACAATACCTGTGTTAATAATTTGTCACCTAGGTTACTTTATCTAATCCAGCATCAACTAATGAAAAGGATCAGTGGATTATAGCGCATTCATTTGATGAAGTTGTAAGTAGTCTAATTCAGTCTGGTCTTGAACCAAATGATTATCAAATTATACAAGGTAATTTCATTGTTTTATCCCCTATATTTTGAAGGTACCTATCCTAATCAATTATTAAACAGAGTTAAGTTCTATCACGTTATCCATATTATCTGATGATAGAATTTACTTCCATATTGGACTCGTTTATCAGATATGGCGAATGGTGTCACAGCATTATTTACTGGATGCAGTTTAGAGTACAGTTTATTGTTCGTTCGTCAGTCCAATAGTATCAAAATAGCACTTGGCACTACTAATCAACGGTCCAAATTTCTGAGCCTCCCGTCAGCATACTTTGATATGCAAGTCAACAAAACGAAAGACAAGGAAATGCGAATAGTATGATCAAAGCTTGTTATAAACAAGAGTGGAAAGATCATATGATGGAATGTGATATACCTATTAGGACGTCAGTAAAATGTGTATCCATCCTTGCAATCCGTTCGAATCCGAGTCATCTCTAAGCTGACTGATTTGCGAAAGTTGACGACGTGATTGACTGTTAAACCTCTTTCTCCTCATATTCTGCACATCTGTTCATACTTGTCTTCCACAACATAGTTCAAAGGCAATGTTTGTCGATAGCGTTATCCACTAGGATACTAAGTCACCATGAATTATTAGGACCAAGTTCATTCACCTGATCAGTTTCAAGTGGAGGCTGAACACGGGTTTTCGATTCCACTGGTAGCTACTACGAACAATGTTGAGTCAACAGGAAATTCAGGGTTGTGTAAAGTCTTCCACACAAGAAGCTCATTCTATCATTACAGACTGATTGATTCGCTCGAATAAAGGGATGAAAATTAAAGGCTTGTATAGTGGTATCATGCGAAGAGGGAACACTAATAACTCAACGTAGAATTCTGAACAAGATGGAAAATATTATGCCTTGCAAACTTAAAAATGCACTCAGACACAAATTTTATGAGTTTAAAAATCCTATTGACCTAATTAAATAAATAATCTGGCCTCGGAAATACTATTTAATGACTGTAGCTTCAAGCATATAGGTAAAACAAACAGATCAGAGTCAGTCGATTCAACAGATCATACAAACTTGTCTAATTTTCGAATAATAGACCCGAATAAGGTAGATAATTTAGAAAAAATACTCGACTATCGCAATGCTTGCACTGATGGCATACAAAAAGAGACAGATCACTGTCACAATCCTAACAAGAAATGCTGTTAGACGGGGAGAAAGAGTGGTTACCAAATCATAGAGTCTGTTACTATGGAATTGAAATGGCACAACACATAGCGAATTCTAGTACCATTGTACACAGATTTTGACAACAGTTTATAGAACGGTCAAATCTCACGGCCCTATAATAGGTTAGGACGAACTGGTGAATGTTACACCTGTTATGTAATTGGTAGTTGGTAGTTGGATATTTTGCTGGATCCATAGATGACGTAAGCTCGCTCTGTCCTCTGTTGACTGTTATCAACTACGATCAGTCGAATTGTCCAGGAGTCAAACTCTCCTTTTCTGTAACCGTTTTTTATTTGCTCGTTGTTAATATTATTACTCTAAAAGAATAAAAAAGCCCTCTTTCTGATGTTTTCTCTACTTTGCCGCTTTCTCCTTCTTATTATCGTTTTCAGATCCAGATGTTTTAGATACCTGGTTCAGTTCTGCGTTGTTACCATTTTCTGTATTTGGTTGGCCAAATCATGTGAGGAAGCTTTTATTTTAAACTAGCTGCCTGTGATGATAATATATATGTTTTTGTAGAAAACGGTAATTGGAAGCAAGAAATGCTTCTTCTTTTCAGTTAGCTCCTCATCATCTGCTCTACAATAATATATAAGATTGTAGGCAGTATAACACAACTTGGGAATCTATCAATCTGTGTATTTATCAGCTGAACTTTTCTGCTTCGTCATCGAATTTCGAAACATCATCTGTCCTGGTTAAGAAAGGGATGGAGAAGATCGATGCGAAACTTCATAATCTCGTATCGATTTTCTGTTGGCATTTCATCTGATCTCACTTATATTTTGCGAAGTCACCCACTGCATACACCACAAGCCATCGGGATTCAGCTGAACTAGCTAAACCTGTGTAATCGGAAGACTGTTTTGACTTGATCGCTTACGTGACTTACCTATGCAATGATGAAATTTTCCCCTCTTAGTCTTGCTGACTGTTACCATATGGGTTCCTGTGTAGAGACACCTTGCTATCGCCTGAACATACATTGTGATGTAATTTGCTTAGTGGTGGCTAGTAGTGGGGGATCCACGACGTTTACTTCATCCTAGTTGGGACTTGTTAGCTAGATGATTCTGGATCCCATTTAGTGATGATGATCCTGCTGAGACTCGAACCCAGTATCAGAGCGTTATCTATTACCACTATTTCACCAACACTAGAATCGTTATTATTATTACTGTTTTACCTATCTTTCCCTTCTGTCTTTGCATCCAATTGTTCTTACGTAGTCACTGCCAACAGTTGACCATTTGGAATGATCATTCTCTACTCTCCTTTCTAACCATTAGAACAGTAATTACCAATTTTGTAACGTTTAGAAAACAAAAAATTCAATTGAAGAAGTATTTCTTTCCAATTAGCTTCTCGTCGACGGCCCTAGTCTTATATTTAACATTCCTTATACAATACAGTAAAACACTAGTTTCTTTTCTTGTTGATTTCTATTATGTAAGGTGTCGACCATGTAACAATTTGTTCCAATCTTCACAACGTTACTATGTAATCCTTTAATTCCCTAATTATGCTCATACCCCCCCCCCTCGATCAATTATCAGCCTATTGATATCTTGGAATTGGCATTGAAGAAGTGTATCTTTAGGAAACCTAATGTGGAATGACCAACTGGCTACTTTTTACAGTTGGATACCTATAAGTCGGGAAAGAATTGTTATCGTGTCCCCTACCCATTCTATTCGATAAATCTACAGCACTTATTACCTAAACGAAGAATTTGTGCCTCTCAAAAAAGTAATGGCTGAAAACGGATATCCAGTAGGATGTGTTAACTTAAACATGAAACCTCCAAAGAGAGATGCGCAGTTCAGCTCCAATGAAAATACTATACACGAATCTGGACCTTAGAGGTGACATCGCTGGCTATTTCCTGAAGGGCAGAATTTTTAACCCGCTAATTAAAAATTTCTTCCTGCAAACCGTGATGCTAGTATTCTCCAGCTGTTCAATATTTCGTTGTAACTCGAAGAATGAGCTTTCTTATCTAACCACTTCCACTTGTGGTTATCAATTCACCTACACCTGTGGAGTCAGGTATGTAGGTTGTTCAATGTGCATTCTTTTCAAACGGGTTAGAGAACTTTACGCCACATGGTTGGAAAGAGGTGTTAGTGGACCTATCAGAAGTGCGATAATTCAGCACCCTGTCAACATTGGTCACCACTTCACAACTGATTAAGCGTTTAAAGTCGTGTATAACGTGACAAGAAATTTACTGGAAATGGTACATTTTCATCTTCTCCGCACTTTACAAGCTCTTGTCATAGCATGAACTATTTGGACCTTTTTCAACTTTTGTATTCATCTTGGTGACCAGCAGTGAAATCCGGAGTGCATGTTTCTTCATGTTTGAGACTCGTTAACTGGATGTAGTTGCACCCCAATCATTGATGTGTCCCCATAAAGACCCAAATGAGCTGTTACTGAATACTTTATCAAATAAATTAATTTGATATGGAAATATATGTATGTAGTCTCATAAACTATCCTTTTTGTGTGACAGTGATTAATCTCTTAAATATGCATGTCGGCGTATTTTTGATTGATAAATTGTTTGATCATTTTGTCAATCTCAGTTATGGATGTCACATTGATACAAAAGTGCAATTATAGAGCTTCTTCTGCCTCCCAGATCCTAAATTGCAGGTCCTAGTTAGTAGACAGTATGGAAATCAGTTCGGAATTTAGTTTCGAAACAGTACAAGATTCGTTTTCAGTTCCATTCTTCATAAAAGGCGTTATAGACGTAATTACATATCAGTTTCTGTATTCCTTTATCATATATTCAAGTGAACAGTTCGATTGCACCAAGTTTGTATCAGCTAACAAATGATATTTTAAGATATTTACTATTAAAAACCAAAAATTATTGCAATTAGTGTAAAGCTAATAAGCACAATACATACAATAAATTTTCGATTGAATACAGCTTATCGAATCACTGACTGACTTGCATTTCGTGCTTGTTAACACTCATCAGTAAGGTGGACATGCAACCTCTCCTGCAGATATTTAAACACGTCACTCAAGGCAGATAAAACCATACAATAAGACGTGAGTTACCTTCGAAAAACTGAACAATGCACTTTTCAAATCAAAATATAACATTTAACATATATATATTCAACCACTATATAAAGTTATAATCCATGTGCTTGACAAATGAATTACAGTTCATCAACATATATTGTACAGGAAGAAGACAACAATGAAAACGGTTGGCGTTTATCCAGATTGTGCAGTATATTATACCTTGTTTATAAATTTCAAACGTTTAAGAAATTAGCGAATCAGTACATTTCTTAAAAGAAAGCAGTTCAGTCAAATAATATCTCACCATAATGAAACCCGTGGCCATTTACGCCGACAGTGTGGAGAGATATCCACTGAAGATCTTAGGCAATGATCGCGCTACAAGATGGAAAATGCTGATCACTTGATCCAAACCAAGTGGTTGGATGGTTAAGTCATCATACTGAGACCAAATGATTCTAGACTTCACCTAGGATGAAGACTTGGGTGGACACTACTGAAGCATTTAAAAGTCAGACGAGCTAGCTGTTCAATACAGATTAGTTTCCAACTTAACTTTGGCTGATTCCATTCCATAATAAGACGTGACAGTTAATAACTTCTGAAATCTGAAAAGTGATCAACATCTTCTAATCCTTTCAAATCGAATCAAATGTGAAAACTTGAAACAAACTGACCACTGAAATAGAGAAACTATCCGATAAAAACTGTATGAAGTATCCTGGTGAGTGAAATGAGTATTTTTCGACCACTAGAGTCAACCAGCAGTACTCGGCAGTCAAATTAAAATGATATGACGACAAGACTGCCATTCGGCGTGTTTAGAACCAAGCTTCTCAGTGGTGTATACGGACTGATTCAGATAAAACCTGAACTGTTTTAAATAAACTTATAAACATCCTCAGCACCCAGAAATAGGTGAGAATCATTCTTTAGAAAGTAGCTGGCACAAGTGATCACAAAGTGTTGTCAACCAATCAATGATATTCAGTTATAGCCAAATTGCAGGTTTATTTACTTTTGATAAGTAACAGCTTCTCAATAGCAGGTTTTCTGCCTTCGTTCCTCATTTGACAAATGAAACCACTCAGTCACCTTATTGGTAAACTACTTCTGATCTATACTTTGCAAATCTATGTTCCAAGTTATTTTGAAACAACTGAATGTTATAAAGTTAGGCACAATTTCTTACCTTACTTGGCTTCTGTACATGAAATTCAATATTCTAACTGAAACAGATATAAAGTTATCGGTTAAGTGATGTTACTTAATGTATAGAACGTCCAAATATTTGGGGCGTTGTCGTTTGGTGCCCACTGCTGGGGAGTTCAGCAATGGGATGAAACAGTGGCTCAGTCCTTCTAGGTTTCCGATGGTTCTTTAACTGGTTTCAATCCATGATGAAAACCACTTTGAAAACTTATTCCTGGGATATTTACTGACTGCTTCGAGATCCTTCTTCATTAACCGTTAGATTTTTATTAAATCACACTTACTAACTCTATTCTCTTAACGACAAGTTTATGCTTACTATATTATGTATCTTGATATGAACTACATTAACGGTGTATGTGTAGAAAAAATAAGACAAAATACTGAGTATTGTGCTGTTTTTTTCCTGCTGGTGGTTAGTAGTGGGATCCACAACGCGCGTCTCATCCCATTTTGGACTAGCGACCTGAATGTACCTGCACTCCAGTGGGTGGTGTTGTCTGCAGTGAGACTAGAATTCAGTACCCATTGTTTTCAGCGTCACAGCGGTACCTACTAGGCCGCTGATGCACTATAGACACCTCTTGTACAACGGGTACACGTTATTATTATTTAATTATATTTGCATCCTTCCCTGGCTATTCTAGAGCAAATTGTTTGACCTCACTTATCAGAAGGGCTCATATGCGGATGCTTCTTTTTGTCTGATTATTCATCATGCTGTAATTTATTTAATCGTGGCTAGCAGTGGTGTATCATAACTTTCATAGGTATATAATTCCGAAGCGAGAATAATGACAAGCTAAATATGCCATCTGGATTAGGTTGAACTGTAAATGTTGATGATATTTAAATCATAAGAAACTTGCGACTGGAGAGGATGAAATCTTAAATGTTCAATCTTTTCTTCTTACGAAAAGTATTCTTTGTTGAGATTAACTGCATAATACTTCATCACCTTCCCTCTTGTTAACTTTCTTAATGATGCGCTAATGGGAATTAGGATAAGTTGTTCATGTACGTCATTGTGACAGACACCAATACACTGATTATGTCTGTTTGCCTTCAGAAACAAAGTCAGAAATAAACAGGATGTTCAATTTACAAATGACTTACAAATTACGTGGTCCACGTTAATATTTCTCACAGGTGAGTGGTTTTTCAACTGATTAACTATGGTTTCAACAGGTTTCCGCTGGAGATTACCCATCAGCCGAGATC